CTCCACCTCCGCCGCTAGGCCATCCACCGCCACCACCGCTCACGGTGATCACCTTGATGATTTTTCCACCACCGCCTCCGCCGCCGCCACCGGACCAGCCACCACCTCCGCCGGACCAGCCACCGCCGCCACCTGACCAGCCACCACCGCCGCCTGACCACCCACCGCCGCCACCTGACCACCCGCTACTGATGATCCCAGCTGTAAAAATAAACAAATACTTTGCTCGTTAAATATGTTACTTTATATTTATGATTTAAGGAAGATTAAGTAGAGTATTAGGAAAGAGTTTAGGGAAGAGTTTTTGACAGAGATAAATAGAATAGGTTTGGTATGTTGAATTAGGAAGTTAATGCACTGCTGCATTTTTAGGTAGAAATTTTTAAATGATTAATAATAATTAAGTATCTTTGGTTCAGTCTGAGTATACTGGTATATTAACGCCTGATGTGGACAACATTGTATGTGTAAATTAATGTTCAGAAAACGAAAAAAAAAATTGATGAAGGACCCTAATTATTGAGTCAGTAATGTATACGAAGAAATTTGGAAAATTAGCTATGTTCTTTCAAAGTCGTACTATGTCTGACCATATACGTCAGTTTTCCCTGCGACTGTCAAAGTGTTATCAGTACGAGAACACTAAACTTCGTAAATTATCAACATCCTTAATAAGTGAAGATATAGCAACGAAAGTTTTAACAACCAGTGTCTTATTATAGTAATTAGCAAGGTACATTCGCGTCTGTCGGTCAGCGACACTTTATTAATTGATCAAACTGAAAATCAAAGACACTGAAGAATAAATTCCACTAAAATTTTAATCAAATAGAACAACAAATTGAGTCGCATAACTTTCAAACTGAAAATGATGAAATAGAAAATGATTCAAAATTGAAAATAACGAAATTGAAAATGCTCAAATAGAAATTAATTCAAAATTGAAAATAATGAATAAGAAAATGGTTCAATAAATCAAATCGTATTATAATTGAAGCAACAAATTGAAACAACAAATCCTAACCCAGAAACAACTTTGTAACATCGCCAATAATTCATGATCACATGTCTTACTATACATGGCTGTTGCTACTGTGAGCACAAATGTTCTGCACCGCGGAAGTAGCTGCCATAATATATTTATTCAGTCAAACCGGACTGTAAACGCGTTCTGTCCATTTATTCTCGACTCCTGTTTCTTTGGCTACCGTTTGTTTTTATCACGCTTGTAGGTGGTCGAGGGATTAAACCACTCTGAAATTCTCAAAATGGTAAGGTCACTTTAGGAATTTCCTGGAAAAGTAGAAACTGAGCTGCTTTTATATTTAGTGAACAAGAATTAGAGATGCGAAACAACAGGAACTTGAAGAAAGTCAATTTCAGTAGTAAACAGTACATAAATGTATTTTGATGTAGACCAGTAATGTAAATTAGAAATAAATTCTACAACTCTCGTTTAAAAATTGAAATGTTTTCTACGTTGTGTTCATGGCTGTAATTTATATAACTATTGAAAGAGTGCTAAAACCTGCGGCAACTGCAAGACTTCATTTTTCTTCACAAAACTAAACTGCAGACAGAAGTTCCCTCAAGAAATCTAAACCCCTGGTATACTTTCTTAACACGTTCCCGAAGCAACAAGTGCCACCCTCAGATGTGTAATAACCCTTCGAAGATGTGTAACGTCATATCAAATCAACCCTCAAGATATAAAAAAATGAAAGCAAAGGTTTTCGGAGGTAAACGTTCACCGGTTAAGATCGGTTACTCACCGTAGGCTGTGGCAACGAAGGCCAAGAGGAGGGTAACCACGAACACCTGTAACGAAAAGATCCCAGGATGAAGAATAATCGAGCGAAAGATCGAAACACCGTACGAATCGAAAGTTCACGCACGGCTCTTGCCACGTACCTTCATGTTGAGGTGTTTGATGCCCATCGTCCGGACCGGCGCCTCTTTTATAGCTCTTGCCTTTCTTCGCGGATCCCCGCCCTTCTTTTTCCCCCTTTTCGCTCCATGTGTCTTCAGTTCGTGGTTCACAACGCCTAACCACCACCATCTCCACAAAAATCTCCCTACCATCATTCCCTCCCCGTTTCGGCGACTCGAGTAAACGCGTAACAATCCGCGTGCCACCGCTTAATCTGACCGGACGATCGTGAATCTTCGAAGGGGACCGGTTGTCTGGGTTACAGGGTCGTGCGATTCCACTTCGATTGTTCGTCAAAATCCGAGCCAGGGAAACACGCTGAGATTATCGCTTGGCGAGCGTTTATCTTCGGGAAACCGCGTGACCAAACGTGTCAACAATTTCACGCAATTGCGTGGAAAACGGGACAAGCGAGACGGATTCTGCTGCGAAATCAAGAGTTAAGATACTTCTGTAGAATGGAATCTTATTCTCATTTTTGAGGTATCTGAACGGCTGCTTTGTAGTTGGACTCATTTGTTGTGCAACTTTTTAATGGACGTTAGGAAATTTCAGCTGGATAAGGTAGAAAATTCTTTTTTCGCTAGTGTTTATGTATGGGGATATTTGGCAAGTGTACTTGGAGCAATTTTGGGGGTGTCACCCTCAAGATTTGAAATTTCTGCATTTACGAAGTTAGTAGTTTGGGAATAGGAGAATTTGGGGATTTGTGGATGTGGAAATTTGGGGATTCGGGAATTTGGAATTTTGGGAGATTAAGAATTTGGGGATTTGTGGATGTGGAAATTTGGGGATCCGGGAATTTGGAATTTTGGGAGATTGAGAATTTGGAGATTGAGAGATTGGGAAATTTGGAAATTTAGGAATTTGGAAATTTGGAAATTTGGAAATTTGGAAATTTGGAAATTTGGAAATTTGGTAACTTGGAAATTTGGATATTTGAAAGTTCGAAAATTTAAGGTTTCAAAAATTCGAAAATTCTAAGTTTCAAAAATCAATAAATTTCAAAGCTTGATTAACTTCGAAAATTCAAACATCTGACAGTTTCAATAATTGCACATTTCAAAACATGAGATACAATTTAAAATTTGTCCAAAATTAAAAGATTAAAAAATGAATTATTAAAGACACAATAGAACATCAAATCGATCGAAAGCAATCAACTTTTAATCAATTTCCATTGAAACGTAACAGAAGTTTTTCCAAAATCCGGACTAACGAATGTAACAACGTAGTTCATTGTTAAAGTATCAAAATTTAATTTCGCCGTCTAATTGAACAGGTTCGCTATGGTTTCGTAATCGTTCTTGATGGTTATCGCGCCAGCCTATTTTCACCGGAGAACAATCTGATCCCTTTCTCGCCGAGAGTGTGCATTATCGTCGCGCAATTTTCGACGATTATCAATTGGCGATCCGGCTGATAAGCGTTTCATCGCGTCGCAGCATGCTGCCGATTGATAGAAGAGTCATCTCGATGGGTTATCGTAAAACTGTTGATGGATGGATAATCGCTTTGAATATCTTTTGAAACGATATTGTATTTGATTCTATGTATATTCCTATATTTCTGGATTTTACATTTTATTGTATTCTAACATCTCTGGGTGTAGATACCGGTAGACATATATGTAGTTCTCTGTGTTTCTAAATTTTGGTAGTTTTAGGTTACAGTTTTCTTAGGAACTGAATTTTGGGATACAATAGATGACCTCTATTTTCTAGTTTAACTCTAGATCCATATATCAGTAGACCTTCATATATCAGTAGATCCACATATCAGTAGATCCACATATGAGTAAGTCCACATATCAGTAGATCCATATACCAGTAAATCCACATATGATTAAATCCACATATCAGTAGATCCATATATCAGTAGATCCACATATGAGTAAGTCCACATATCAGTAGATCCATATATCAGTAGATACACATATGAGTAAGTCCACATATCAGTAGATCCATATATGAGTAAGTCCACATATCAGTAGATCCACATATGAGGAAGTCCACATATCAGTAGATCCATATACCAGTAGATCCACATATGAGTAAGTCCACATATCAGTAGATCCATATATCAGTAGATCCACACATATGTACTCCCATATGTCTTTAAATTTTCATATTCCTAGGTTACAGTTTTCTTAGGATCCAAATCTTGGTATACAATAGATGACCTCTACTTTGTACTCCAACTCTAGATCCACATATCAGTAGATCCTCATATATGTCGTCCACTGTGTCTTCTAATTTTGATATTTCTAGTTCACAGTTTCCTTAGGACCCAAATCTTGGTACACAATAGATGACCTCCATTTTGTACTCCAACTCTAGGTCCAGATATAAATAGACCTTCATATATGTACTCCCCTGTGTCTCTAAATTTTGATATATCTGATTTACAGTTTCCTTAAGATCCAAATCTTGGTACACAATAAATGACCTCTATTTTGTACTCCAACTCTAGATCTATATATCAGTAGATTTTTTTAAATTCATATAATTATTGATGATTTTTTAATATTCATTTTCAATATTCATATAATTATTGATGATTTTTTAATATTCATTTTCAATATTCATATAATTATTGATGATTTTTTAATATTCATTTTCAATATTCATATAATTATTGGATTTTTTAATATTCTTTTCAATATTCATATAATTATTGATGATTTTTTAATATTCATTTTCAATATTCATATAATTATTGATGATTTTTTAATATTCATTTTAAATATTCATATAAGTATTGACGATTTTTCAAAATTCATTTTAAACATTCATAGTCCACTTTATCCCACAAAATAAGAATAAAGTTCGATGACTTATTTTTGCCGAGCCATATTTATTAGGAATATGCAAGCAAAAATTGTTGGAATGTTATATTAATAATGCAAGGATCGTTCCACAGATTTGGAAGATCTTTTCTCGAAATCGAGCCTCGTGAATAATGAATAAGAATCGAAGTTTCGAAATTCTCCGACGATTAAAACTTGAAAATTTGCGAGAGTATCGAATTTCTGTCGGCACTTCGTTGCTCGTCAACACGCCACACGATCATCCGGCGAGTAAATTACGCTCCTGAAGACAATGGATCGACGATAATGGATTCGAGATGACTCACGCGATCACCCGTTTCCGCTAATGCGCCTGCCGGCGATACAACGATCTCGTGCGAAAATTTCGCTTTCGTTTCGACGGAATAAAGGTAACGGACGAAACGGGACATCTTGGCCTTTCACCGTTCGGACCCGACCGACTTCTTTCGTTACTCTCAAAATTGCTTTAAAACTTTCGTTGCGATGTCGGCATATTCACAGTCGATCCATTAACGATCGATACGCGATAAAGGTTCATGTCGTAAACGTGATTATCCAGTTCGTTGTAAATGTCGATACTAATCGTAAGAACGATGGTAGCTCGTTAATTGTGATGACTATTAATATCCGAAGTTATAAGTGGAAACGTTTCTTATCTTTGGACGGAAAACGACTCCTGAATCAATAACCAGATACTCGAGCACCCATTTCCAGATTAATGCTAAAAAATGTATCGGCTCCTGTTAGAATATTTCAGACTCGCTCCAGATCTTCGTTCTTCGGACATTTTCGCATGTGTGTCAGGGGTGCTTTTGATCATTGCAAATTTTGCGAGACTTTTGTAATTTTGTGTTTCTTATGCAACCATTATTGTTAAGTTACAGATAAAAATACTAGAGCATTCTTTTATAGTTTATAAATATACGAGTTCAAGTTTTCGTTTATAAAGTTAAGTTGCATTAGAAAGGGTTTACGCAATAACTGAGAAAAATTAATCTATGTAAATGTTCTTAGACACGAAGCAGTTAATTGAATTATGCTTGATAGTTTCATTTAACTCTCTCCGCAAAACGACTAGTTTTTCTGTTGTAATCGGTGGCTGGTAGACGAAGTAAGGAAAATAATGATGAGACGAAATGATAAGTTATTAAGACGAAAGTCGGTAATTATACAATTTTCTTTCGATTGCTAAGGAAACCGATTGATATTAATCTTTTGATCGTTCACCTGTTTCGAATCCACGGTAACAACTACCTAGGAGTCTCGCAACTGGATGCTGAATCTAGGCAGAATAAAGACCATTACTCATCTCGGAGCTAATCGTGTTCACGTAACTCGAATTCCCCGGTTAGAAGGAACCCAGACCTCTTTCT